GTTATTTTCACACCCAGAGGAGGCTGGTTGAAGTTACTCGTATGATCTTTGGTACAATGCATGAAATACTACAAAATACGCGCGCTGCTCTGCTTTAGGACAGCAGATCCTGTTCTTGACCTATTGCGACTGCCTCACGACTATCTGATATTAAATAAAGCGTATGTATATTATCCTTTCAAGGGCTTCGTTAAAATAATTCTATAAATTCTTTTTTGGAAATACAGAAAAGGACACATGTAAAGTGTAATTATCTCGCCCATTGGTCTGTGGCGAGTGGCGACAAATTCAGATTTTCAAATATATTTCACGTTTTCCCATTTTCAACTCATCAAATGTCACTATGTTGGCACCCACCAATATGATAGACAATAATTATTGTTCATATAAGTCAGAAAACCTTTTACAACATTGTGTGAAACGGATTTGTTGAGATTAGTTCCTGGTTCATACAGAAAAAACAGTATTTAATTAATTAATTAATTTATTTATTTATTTATTTATTTATTTATTTATGTATTTTTATTTATTTAAGTATTTATTTATTTACTGAATCAATGTTTTCATTGAGAATGTCAGAAGTCAGATCTGAACTAACATAATTGCATGTGATTCGTTTACTTATAAAGGCACCCACCAATATGATAGACAATGATTATTGTTCATATAAGTCAGAAAACCTTTTACAACATTGTGTGAAACTGATTTGTTGAGATTAGTTCCTGGTTCATACAGAAAAAACAGTATTTAATTAATTAATTAATTTATTTATTTATTTATTTATTTATTTATTTATTTATTTATTTATTTATTTATTTATTTATTTATGTATTTTTATTTATTTAAGTATTTATTTATTTACTGAATCAATGTTTTCTTTTTTTTTTTTTGTCCCTTGCCCATGTCTATGATATTGACGCCATCTGATTAGTAGAAAAATGTGCGTATGAGAGTGCCCAATAATGTATAACGTACAAATTTGTTATGACATATAACTGTTACATATAGATGTTTAAGATAATTATAGATGTTTGTGAAGGATCTGAGAGCAATGATGACCTTAGAAATGACGGTGATGGTGGTGGTAAGTGATGATGTGGGATGGTGCTTACGTTTATAATTATAAGAAAACATGCTTCTGTTATTTGATTGTTGTTGTTTTTAAAAAAAATAATGTTAGCGTTAGTCCTATCTTCCTCTGCTCTGATGAGTCACGAGGGATGTGGGCACCCGCTATCCCGTTCCCTACTGGAACCATCTTTAATGTCACCGTGAAGTTCCGAAATGGTGGGCACAGTCTCTGCTATGGTGACCTTGTTAGTATTAGCCTATTCTAGCGGACCAAGACAAGTGAAGAGAGGACCTTAGTAGGTAGCTAGTACAGTGGTAGAGATTATTTTTGGGGTTTCGCAAGGGGTTTGCAGGCAGCAATTCACAATTGGGTTAAAGACTTAATACTTATTTATATATGAAGTTGCAGAGATTCCGACACAGGATCCTCGAACCCGAGTCGAGAGGGAACAATTTACACACAATATTGTATCCCCTCGCCTCAGGGGGAGCGGCCTCAAACTCCCCAATCAAGCACCCTGTGTCTGCATCTACACGGTCTCGTCATACATTTGTGTAATTTCCAAAATGACGTTTGAAAATGAATCTTAAATTTGACAAATCATTAACTGTGTATATGCTACCAGCTAAATCTAGATAGATGTGCTTTGGTTGGACAAGTTACAGTCTGACAATAGTGGACTAGTGTGTGTGTGTGTGTGTGTGTGTGTGTGTATGTGTGTGTGTTGTTTTTTTGTGTATGTGTGCTTGCGCGCGTGTGTGTATGTGTGTGTGTGTATGTGTGGGTGTGTGTGTGTGTGAGTGTGTGTGTGTTTGTGTGTGTGTGAGAGAGAGAAAGAGAGAGAGAGAGAGAGACAGAGACAGAGACAGAGACAGAGAGAAGGAAAGAAAGAGAGAGAGAGAAAAATAGAGAGAGGAGCAGGAGAAAGGGAGGGAGGTAGATAGGGAAAAGGAAAGTAAGACGTGGATTAGGAGAAGACGGGAGAGAGAGAGAGAGAGAGAGAGAGAGAGAGAGAGAGAGAGAGAGAGAGAGGTCGTCCATGAAGAGTTAAACATTATTATTATGATGAGTAGGGTGCTGAGGGAATGGTTATACTATAGAGACTGGCCATCTTTTCTCCCAAACATAAGGCGTCCGTTAATTTTGTCTAATGGGGTATTGAACAATATTATCATGCAATATACTGCCAGAAAAGTATATCGATGAGCTTTACGACCACCTACTTTCTCTCAGCTCCAGCTCCGATTCAAACAAGTTTTGTATATTTGCCGCTTTGCTGTAGCGTAACTTGCTAACACACATCTTTGCGATCAAAAGAATGTGGTTAGCGATGTTTAACTGGGCTTCTGTTACACCTTGCCCTCGTTCACTGAAACCAAAAAGTATGTTACAGTCAGTCATGGGAAAACGGGAGGAAGTTTTGAGACAAATCGTATGAAATACGTATTTCCAGAAGTTTTTTAATAAGGTACAATGAATAAACATGTGCTCAATAACGTCTTTGACACCACAGTGCTCACATAGTTCAGTATTTTTAATGCCTAGGCGATTGAGAAGAATGTTACTTGGGAAGATGTTATGGAGGATTTTAAAATGCAATAATCTAAGTCGAGATTCTTTCGTTGACCTGTGTGCTATGTTGTATTTACATGTTATGTCAATGTTCATTTTTCTCATCCAAAAATTCCGACCACAAATTTCTGCATGTCTTCTGTATTTTAGAAGTTGTCTGATCTCTCTGTTCGATTTGCTCAGTATCTCTAGAACAGTTTTCTTACCATTCGTATTTATTACCTCTCTGGTATTTACCAAAAGTTCCTCGGTGTTGTTGTCACTGACGTCTTGCTTCCACTGTGTAGGAAGAGCATTCATCAACGCATAATAGTCAAAATCAAAGGCAGCATATGTCCCTGTGATATGAGACAATTCCTCCTTACTTTTTAATATTCTCCTATCATACAGGTGATATACATATTTTATACCCGAGTTCATCCATCTTTTTAGGTACAATGATTTTCCTTTATATTTTATGTTTCGGTTATTGAACAAAGGTTCCATAAGTATCTCTATCGTGGAGCTTGGTTCTTTTTTTATAGAAGCCATTTCGATCCATGTATCCATCACACTCTCCCAGAACTTAGAGGCATGACACAATTTTCCCGTTTTCTTGCAGTTTGCTGTAGCCGAAAAAAAGTAATCACACCCTCCTACCTCCGTAAAAGCTAAGTCTGAAATTCTGTTGGGAATATTGTTGGGTCTGCCTTCGGTAACAGTTGCCATACGTTTTAACCAATTTAATAGAAAAACTTTCTGTTGATCTTTAACACTTATAACACCCAAACCTCCTTCCTCAATCGATCTACACATTACCGTTCTTTTTACTTTCTCGCGTGCTTTCTTGTTTGAGTGCCTCTTCTGCCACAGAAACTTAAAGAACAAAGTATCAATTGTATTCAAAACTCTTTCGGGTAAAGACAGTGACTGAATTATATAGGATATTTGAGACAGCAGAAAGGTTTTACAAATAATTACTTTCCCATATAGGGATGGATTCCTTTTCATCCACATTTTCATGATATTTTTCATATTTTCTATTTTGTCTATCCAATTAAGTTCTATGCGAGATGCTTCCTCTGTTGCACTAAAGTGAATACCTAGTATCTTAATTGTATTCCCATTAGGGACCCAACTGATTCCTCCTAATTTTTCAGTGCGTGTTCTATCACTTCCAATCCACATACCTTGTGATTTATCCTTGTTCAGCCTGAGCCCAGAGATGCTACCAAAAGAATCGATGTCCAACAAGGCTGAAGCAAGGTCTTCTTGGTCTTTTAGAATCAGAGTGGTGTCATCAGCATACTGCAAAACTTTGCAAAAATTAATTATTTCCCCTGACAAAATTGTGCTCATTCCAGATATGCTGCTATTGTTTCTTAACTTTATTGACATCAACTCAGCAACAAGTACAAAAAGAAGTGGACTTGTGCAGCAACCTTGTTTTATTCCTCGCTCTGTGTTGAGCCATTCTGACAACCATCCCCCATTTTGTACACAACATTCTGTGTTAGCCATTAAAACTCCCACCATATTTATAAATCCTTCTCCAAAGTTAAACTTTTTCAATGTGGCCAATATTGTTCCCTTTTCTACAGTGTCGAATGCGCGTTGAAAATCCAGAGATACCACCATACCTGGTAGATTTTTTTCAGATGCTACGTAGATAATGTCGTCAAGTGTCCTAATGTGCTCCGAAATGGACCTGCCTTTCAAGAAGCCAGTTTGGTTTTCATTTATTAAAATTGGCATAACACGCTCTAGCCGTATAGCTAATATTTTGGAGAAGATTTTGTAGTCCGTGTTTGTTAACGTTATCGGTCTCCAGTTCTTTATATTGTCCCTTCGTAAATTTTTCCCTTTATGTAATAAAGAAATAACGCCTCTTCTTTGAGTGGGAGATAACTCTCCCGTCTCTAGACACTGCTGGAAGTTTGTAAATAAAGGTTTCCTCAGTTTGCTCCAGAAAAATTTGTAAAAAGGGGTGGTAATTCCATCGATTCCAGGTGCTGAATCAATATTCAACTTATTAACAATGGCATCTAATTCAACAATGCTTAGTTCGCTATCACATATTTCTTTATCAACATCATCGAGTACTGGAAAGCAATCATCAACTTTGTTTGTTTCAATATTATGGTCTTTCTTATATAAACGTTCAAAGTGATTTTTAATGCTATCCACAATATCTACATGACCATACAGATTGTTGTTTTTGTCATCCTGTAAAGAAGTTATAACATTACTACCACCTCTCATTTGTTCCATCCGAAGAAAGTATTTCGTATTCTTTTCCCCTTCCTCAATCCATTTTTGTCTTGATCGTATTTGTGCTCCCCTGGCCTTATGTAGTTGATATATTTCTAATTCTTTCTTTTTGGCTTCAAACTGTTTAAGCAATGTAAGGTCATGGGGGGTTTTCACTACTTGATCATTTAATTTCAAAAGTTCTTCCGTTATTAGAATTTCCCTTAGTTTGAGTGCTCTGCACTTTCTAATACAATAGTCAATTGTATGTGACTTTATCATGACTTTCAAAAGTTCCCATCTTATGGTTTTATCTGTTTCATCTAAAGTCCGTTCTAAATATTCGTCTATGCATTTCTCCATTGAGTTAACGTACTCTTTGTCTTTTAGTAATGAATTATTAAATTTCCAGTATGAAGGCCCCCTTTTAAATTGTTCAGTTCGAACAGTAGTTATGACTGCTTTATGATCCGTACCATATACAAATGTGTGTTTAGAGTCTATAACAAAGGGAAATAACTTAGTATTACAAAATATGTAGTCCAGCCGCCGTGCTGTAAAGGGTGTAGGCCTGGACCAGGTGAAATCCTTTTCTTCACCGTGCACACCCCGCCAGGTATCAACGATCTGACAGTTGGCGATCCAGTCCCTGAATTTTTGTGTGGACATGTCGTCGTGTTTCTCTCCTGTCACAATATCAAGGGTATTGTTATGAACAACATTGAAATCTCCACATATGATCGTGTGGTCTGCCTTTTCATCTTTAAGAACAGAGTAGAGCTTATCAATGAAATCCAATTTATCATTTTTAACTACTGGACCATATACATTAATTGCTACGTATGAAACATCATCAATACTGAAAGACAACCCAAGTATTCTCTCAGTTTTTATACATAATTCCACTGTTTTATACTTAAAGTGTTTATTAACTAATATAATTTGCCCTTTGCTTTTGTTTGTCCCTTCACTATAAAAGAAATCCCCAGACCATTCTAAACTCCACTCACGTGCAGTAGTATTGGTGACATAAGTCTCTTGCAAACAAATTATGTCATACTGTGTACATTTACGGAATATTGCTCTTCTTTTTAGTTTTTTGTTGAGGCCCCGACAATTGAGGGAGGCAATTTTTATAGACATCCAAAACAGTCAGACGCAAAACCAAACTCAAAGTCCTTTTACCTGTCCAAGTCGTTACCAATGGCTACCGAAACGTGGACACACCACTCACGCACCGACCTCTTCGTGCTCACACGTTTCGGTAGTCACTGGCTCCTCATAATCAAAATAATCTACCGTATCTTGCCTTTTTCTCGTGCCACTCACCTCCTGATTTCGAGCTTTCACGCTCGGTGACCGAGCTGGCTCGTCGCTCACCTGTCTTTTATGTCTCCTCGTCTTGACACTTGGAGACCTTGTGTCCTGGCTTCGGGGTGAGCGTACTGGGGGGCGGGAGCGGTCAGGCTGCGGGAAAAAAGAGTCCATATTTGTTTGCCTTACAGCACGCAGGGTGTGTGTCTCTGCCTGTGTCTCCGCCTGTGTGTCAGCGTTAGCCTCACGGATTGTCGCTTGAACATTGGTGTCGGGGGCGGGCTGATCTCCACCGGTTGTATTGGTCCCATCGTCTCCTTTTTTTTCTTTCTGGCCGTAGTGATACAACGTTGGCCTCCAGTGTCCAACCTGAAAATCTTTGGGGAGAGGGTGAGGGGGGACATTAATGTAGACAAAACGTCTACCAGATTTAAACAAGGTCAACTTTCCTTCGTTGTCCCTATAACATTCTTCATAAAACTTTGAAAGAATGGCCACTCCCTCTAGTTTCTTAAACTCTTTTCCTATTTCATCATTGGACACTGACAACGGTATGTTACCAATGATGACTTTCAATGTGGGGGAGTCCTTGGTTCCTTTCGTCACCGTCGGGCTGGCGCTGAGGATAGCGACAAACATTTTGTTAATTATGATGCCCTTAATGATTAGTTGGTTTCTTGCCTGAACCGTAGCAGGGTATATCCTCCACAGTCCATAGAGCTTTTGGGCTCCGATAATACTTCCCTCGCCGGCAACTTGCTCACAGGCCTTACATATTTGGTAGCCTGTGACAGAGCGGTCAATATGCTCTGCAAAGAAAAAACAGGCTGGGACAGATTCACTGTTATTTTTTGCCATCATGTTCACTTAGCAGTAGACGGTTATTCCTAAGAAGAATGATTAAAACAAGGAAACTGTAATATCAGGATACAGAAAAGAACAAGTAAGAGTAAGAGTGAGATAGGGAGTGAAAAAAACACAGCGCGATAGCCAGGCGAGAAGGAATAGAAAAAACAACAATGAAACCGTGCTCGAAGCAAGGTTCACTGAGAAGAAAAAATTATGCAGACAGTAGAAAAGACAGTATACAGTGCACAAATTACAACAAAAATATCAAAACTTACTTGAGTATACGAATGATACCTCTTACCACCACTTACAACCACTTTTCTCCACTGAAATCCGTATCAAAATCACCGATAACACAGGAGCTAAGAAACAGCGACTGACCTCAGCCGCCATTAAACCGGATGTGAGAATCAATGTTTTCATTGAGAATGTCAGAAGTCAGATCTGAACTAACATAATTGCATGTGATTCGTTTACTTATAAAGATATAGAATTCTGACGGAGCCGACCTTTGTGTAATTTTGTGAAAACACACTATTCAGCTGCCAGAATTTGTATAAGCTGTAGCATTCAATATTCTTAAAAACCTGACGGAGCCGGATTCTCAAAATTTTGCACTTGTGGATTTATAAAATTGAACATTTCGACTACTAAGAATCAGTTTAAAGTACTGCAAGTTTTTCAATTCCATTTCTGAAAAATCTGGGCATCCACTGTTTGGAAAAGTCCCAAAGCTGCATGACTAAACGGAAATCCCCAAAGTGTACCTTGCTTATTGCTGATTGTATATTATTATGTATCCTTACAAAACACTTCAGTGAGTTCTTGAAAAAGCAGGCTACAGTCAGTGTGAGTCAGTTGATGATGAGAAAATTTCTTTCAGTTTTAATTTTAGTGGAGTTTTTACGGCGCTCACAACTGCATAAGGTCATATGAGCGCTAAGGGGTGGATGTCAATAGAGAAGTATTTACAGGGAATCACGATTACTCTGTTCACCAACAGCACGAAGTCTGCTTCAGCTATCAAGCACCCCAGAAATAGACGGTCACAAGAGTGTGACAAAACCTACAAAAGAAGTAGAGGGAAAATGACGATAGTATGGATTAAGAAAGAAAAAGCTGCAGTTTCCTGTTGCAGTTCAGGCAGTTATGAGCATATCATTTATGAATCAGCCCATTTACAATTACCATTTAGACCACTCCCATAGAGGGAACATTAACATGCTGTTAAGCGTAGTACAATTCTACTGCGCTTAACAGCATGTTAATGTTCCCTCTATGGGAGTGGTCTAAAGACACCTCAGTCAGGAGCACCTCCCCGAGGGGTAGAAAATCTCTTTGCCGTTGTCGCATGTAGTCACGGTGTTGTCGCATGACGTCACTCCAATGTTGTACACGAAGTTCAGAAGTTCACGACAGGTTTTTCTTTCTTTCTTTCTTTATTTCTTTCTTTTTTTCTTTCTTTCTTTCTTTTTTTCTTTCTTTCTTTCTTTTTTTCTCTCTTTTTTCCTTTCTTTCCCTTTTTCGCTTCGAAATTAAACGTCCACATTGCTGTAGTCCTCCCTTTTGTATGGTGGACGGTGTACCAAGGTCATTCCCAGAAGCTTAACCATTTTCAATATGAAATGCCTCAGGAGAATTATTTGCTTTAAATGGCAGGATAAATTACGAGACACCGAAGTTCTCAAAAGGACAAAAGCCGAGAGTCTGTTGTTTAAGCTCAAACGGATTCAACTTCGCTGGGCTGGCCATATTATCGTAAGAAAGTCTGATTCCAGATTTACAAAGGGGGTATTATATTCTGAACTGTCCCCAGGAAAGCGTGATGTTAACGCACCAAAAGTATACAGCGCTACCTAAACACCCAGAAAATGTCTCTGAAAGACATAAATCCTTCGACATGGGAGAGCATAGCCCCTGACAGACCAAGTTGGAAAGCAGAGTAGTAGTTACAGAGGGCGGCGAGTCATATGAACCTTCACGAATTAAGACTGGCACACATTTTTCCTACCAGAATTGGTCTCATCGGCCTCAGCAGGGGCCACAAGTCATCTTAACCATTAATTCTTCTAATTTAAATTTTCAATTTTTCTTAAAAAGTGTCTTCCTTTGCGGATGTATTAGTAATCGCCAGACATTAACGAATCAGCTCTAGATAAGTCTGGCAACCGCATAATTTATATTGTAAAGGAAAAAAAGCGGAACAAACATGGGTCCTGTGAATTTAAACAACAGATAATTATTGTAGACCACGTTCTTTTGCTGGCCTCTTTTAGGCGAGAAAAGTACGTGACGTTGTGCAGACGTCCTTGGGATTTTATTTTTAAGTCCAATGTCGTCACCAGTGCCTTATTTTGTGTAACGTTATATTTATGTTGTACTTCAAGCTGGAGGCACCTGGTGGGGTCAGGGCGGGTAAATTGCATTGCGGAAGAACAAGAAGAACCAGGGCAGTGATGCTATCTAAGTCAGCAATCTCACTGGTGTCAACAAGTACACATTTTATCCTTGGCTACGGCAAGGCAAAGATACTGGCCTGGTGGGTAGGCTACCAGTTTCATAATCGTGAGATTGCAGGTTCGAGGGTTCAAGCTTCGGCTCGGTCCGACGTTGTGTTCTTGGGAAAGGCACTTTAAACGAGATTCCCACTTTGACCCATCCTTTCGTAGATGGACGTTAACTCGGAGGCCCCGCCTCTTTAATAACTTAACAATGTAGATAGAGGCCTATGCCATTTCACAATTTTTTCACATGACATGACTGCTGCTTTTATGTTAAAAAAGAAATAGAACCCGGCTGAGGGGTTCGAGGGCAAACTACGCATTGACCGGCTTGCGTCCATTGCCTCATCTATGTTTGGGCACTTTATTGCCTTAGGCACATCAGTGGTAATCGTGTGGCCGATCACGAATTTCCCAGAGAATACTTGTATCTGTATGTGACTGACCCTGTGAACAAAGCACCTGTACCTCAGTTCAGGTAAAGATTTTGTGTCAAAGTAAAATGGTTTTATTTGCAATAAATTAGTTTTGAGGAAGGAAGCTTATATAGCTGAAGGCAGGTGAACTCACTTATCGGTTCGACTAGCTTTACAACACGGGTACGTCAACATTTGCATCCACATTATGTAGCCCTTTTTCAGGTTTGACAACCAGACAGATGCTTGGAAAGACGGGAGACAGTCAAGCACGCTGTTACTCTAAAAGTCAGGTGGTTTGATATAATGCTTTTTCACCTCTTTTTAAGGCGATATGAGAACCTCATGAGAAATCTGTTCTTTTCTTAAGGATATAATGATCGACATCTAGTATGTTGTACAATACGTTGCACTTCTTCTTATCAGAAAACTGCCAACTATCCTTTACAATCAAATGTGTTGACAACATGTGGGCGCGCGAGTCGGTCCACGCTGACCTGGTAGGACACGAAGGCTAAATGACTGAGTCCCCTATCGAACGTCCTAGTTCATATTATCACTGTATTCTTCACGATAGTCTAAATGAAACCGTGTGTCTTTGAACAGAAAGAAGCACATGGACTCCATGTTGGTCATTTAATGCACTGGAAGAGTACAACAGACAGACAGTAGAAAAGAAGAAAAGTTGACCTTCCAGCTTCACACTCCAATGATTAACGAAGAGTACGTAAACAACGTGATATTGTGTATTTTAAATGAAGTAAGAATATACTATGTTAGACAGAAACGAGTATTACTTCGAGGCCGTATCCAAGACCCAGAAAGGCTAAACGAGTTTCTGTTTGCAAACGACCAGTGCGTTGTTCACCCAAAACAACAAAGATTCCAAAACCATACCACCAAACTCAACAATTGCTGGGATAAATTTGACATTAGAATAATTACATAAAACCAGAGTCATGAAAATCAGGGAAAATTATAGGTCCCTCAACTTATGTGTGAATAACAAACAACCTGACACAGGTCACAGAGTACAATAACCTTGGCAGATTTAAACAGAAAACGGATTCTTAGATAGAGAAAAAACAAACAAACGAACTTAGAAAAAGCCTACACCATCACCTATCAGTTCGCATCCCATTTATCTATCCAAACACCACTATGGACACAATGTGACAGCTTTCTCACTTCATTGTTTATGCCAACATAATTCTATCAGTGTGAGAACCACACTAGAAAGCAAACCTACAGCATGCGAGATGAAAAAAATGTGTCCTCAAAACCCATAACATCGCTAGAAGAGACAGGGAGAGAAAAGAAAAAGTAGGAACACCTGCTGGGAAAGGTCCTGCTGCCTTTCATTAAAAAGAACAAAGAATGGAATGGTTTTTGCCATCTGTCAGCCAACTTTTGAGATAAGATATTATTTAATAATGACTTCGGCTAAAAAGGAAGAGGTAGCCAAGCAAAAGATTTGGATTCAAAAAGTGACATCATCTTGAACATGATACCTTGGTTTTTCCAAAGACACAACAAACCAAGTTAGAATAACATTTAATTCAATTTTCATCTTCGTCATTCGAGCTTTTTGGTTTCAACAATGTTTCATGAGTCAGCGGTCACGCGTTTTACTGACGCTGTTACCCGTGCGAACAAATCACTTGAAGATAAAACGCAGTTAAGACACTGGCTCTCACGCTACAGCTAAACCATTCTTTTTGCTGCATTATTAATAATATTGTGGTCGTAGATAGAATCTTTTGGCCCGTTGATCAGGGAACTTTTATATCACTTTTCATAGCCTCATCAGTGATACTTGTGTGCTTCTCTACTTGAGCGCGCGCGTGATCCTTGATTAAAGTCGAGATAAGCCTGGCAATCACATTGATTTTGCCAACAGCCCCACCCCCACCCCCAAAAAAAGAAAAAAAGAAAGAAAACCATTTTAAAAGAAAAAGACGGACACAAAAAAGGTCCCGTCACTTTAAACAAAAATGATTTCTGCAGATCACGTCCTTTCTTTTATCTTCTTTTTGATGACGAGAGAGTGGAAAGAATTTGGATTTACTTGAAACTGTACAAGAACTATTATCTGCAGCCAATCTGTTTTCAACTACAGCTGACTAAAATGTTAAGGAACCGAGCCTCTGAAAAAAGGCCCCAGGGTAAATTGAGTTTGACACCTTTGTGTTAGTGTATAGAAACAAATGCTGTTACTATGTCACTGTAAAAAAATGTTACCTACGATGAGGTAGGAGATATTGGTTGTTGTTGTTTGTTTAGTTGTGGTTTTTTGGGGGGTGGAAGGGGGTGGTGGGATCACCAAAATTAATTGTACTATTATGAGTCTCGGATTTGTGATCTCTGAATGAATTGGTTTGAAGACGACAAATTTTGCCGTCAGCTGTAAGTGATCGATCACTGTCACTACAAGATCAAGACACACCAGCCTCATCTCCTACCACCCCAGCCGCAGCGCCTATCACTCATAAAGCCATGTCCCACACGTCCCACTTCACCCCAATCACCGTCTACAATTACCTGACACGGTCCTAGTTCACCATGTTTATACATCATGTTTGGAAGCATGTATAAATTCTGTTATTAAGGACACTAATTGAACATGCTTTGTTTTTGTTATTATTCTTTGGGTGTTGTTTCACGCTAAACTCCTATCAGGTCTCAGTTTTACAAGTGAAACAAAATTAATTGTCAAACTCGTGACAAGCCAAAGTGTGTCCCAGTCTTCTACCGCTTTCCCCTATGTCATATTAATACTGAGGTCCTTAAATTTGAATTTTGTTTTCTTTAGGTAACGTTATGTTTATATCTTTATAGTTGGAGCCACAGGATGGGGGTGAGGATGGTACAATTGTGATGAGTAGAAGCAGGACGAACCGGTAGTAGTGTTGCTATCTCGGCCAGCTATCTCACTGGTGTCAACAACTATAACATCTTATCACGATGACAGTACCCCGTATTTGGTGAATGCAACATTGTATTGTTTTATACGAGAATAACAATCATTCAAAGAACGAATAATTGTCAAACATTTTCAAAAACAAATTTGTTAGTTGTCATTGGGTGATTACTCTATTCAGTTTATTAAGAAATATTATCCTAGTCCATGATTAAAAGTTTCAAGACTGTTTCTTACCAAAGCAAACACAAATTTTAGTGTGTCCCACGCGTTCATATGACCTTATGCAGCTGCCAGCACTGTAAAACACTTACCAAAAAAGTTTCAAATGCTTTTGGTATTAATCATAATAGCCTTATCACCGCCTATGCAAAGGCATGTCTTTCATTTAGTCTGGGATAAATTCATCTCAAATCATCCATTCATTCATACACTCATTCATTAATTAATTCATTAATTCATTCACTCGTTCATTTTTACTTTCAAACATTTTCTAATGAAGCAACCACCTCTAATATTTATAGTATGATGCCGGTAAAGTCATTTGAGAAGAAGCACCTCCAATTTTTGTTTACCTTTCACCACCTATAGAATCGATCCAAGAGGATGGATAGCACTGGAACGTTCCAAACAATGATTATGCAAAAGTCGTTGCATCTGACAGAGAAAGTACTTTTACAACGAAAAGCCAAAATATGTATAATATGGTAAAAATGTGACAAATACATATATTATATACACGCACATACATAATATATATGTGAGACATCATAGTTAAATCGGGCGCTAGTCAAAATGATGAAATCGAAGAAACAGTTATTTTTCTGCCTGTTTGGCAATTTTTATCGAATTTTTGCCATCTGAAAACGTTGATTAAAGGCACAGAATATGATACATGTATCAGTTTTCAAGGGCTCTCAAGCTATTGAAATTATCAAATAATGAGAGCCATTTTCTCCCTAATTTTACAACAGAAACAAGGTGACCTCACCTCCCTCACTTGCAAATATCTCGACTTCTTGACGATGGATATTTTTATCATCGAAAGCAAGCATTCAGATGATATCAGTTACCCCACATGCCCAAAAATTGAAGAGCGCATGGTTCCACTGCGTCATGACACACACACACACACATACACACACACACACACACACACACACACACACACACACACACACACACACACACAAATATAATAAATATATTATATATATATATTATATATATATATATGTATAATATTTTATATATAATATGTATATATTATATTGTAGGTAGGTCTTTACTCACCTGAGTTTTCTACTCGACTGGCCGTTGGAGGACAGTCGGGTCAGGTGGTGCTTTTCGTGTGAGCACTTCGCAAGTCCGTGCCAAGACATGGTCATATCAGCTGCTGTGTTGTGAGTAATTGAGTGTTCGGAGAGTCACTGTATGACCCCCCCCCCCCCACCAGCGCTGACATGACAGGAGGTTCCAGAATCGGGGAGGTGGTCTCACAATACGTCCTGAACGTGAGACCTTCCAGCCTGCTTGTTGTGGTTCCTGTAGAGTAACAGGAGCGGATTGTATAGCTTGGCTAGGCTGGGTTGAATTAGTATTTGTGCTTGGATTCACAAGCAATGAAGAGGGAGGTCGCCCACGTCTTGGTGCCTGAGCAACACGTACTGGTTGCGACAGATCCACAAAAGCAGGTTTGAGTCGGTCGACAAAGATATGTTCCGCGTGACCACTTAAATCGACAAGAAAGGTTTTGTCATGCCTTTTTAAAACCGTGTACAGACCAGCATACGGGCGCTGTAGGGGTTTTTCGTGAGCGTCGAAGAGATGAACACGAACTTCGCTGTGTCTAGTGAAGAGTGGATGCTGAAGGTAGGTGGACAGTGAACTGCTGTCGCCTTGGCTATAGTTATGACTGCATTTGGGATCATAAGTTGTCGAGGCTGCATGACGGGTCGAAAGGTGAAGTGTCACTTGTAAAATATTCGCCCGGTACTCTGAGTGGATCTCCGTACACTAGCTCGGCGACTGAAGTTCCCATCCCAGGTCCTCTTTTGGGGAAGTCCTCAAACCGAGCAGTACCAATCCCAGTTGGTTGAGCCAGTTTGAGCTTTGGAGTCTTGCTTTGAGAGCACTCTTAAGCGACCGGTGGAATCTCTCAATCAGTCCATTGGATTGAGAGTGATAGGCTGTTGTATGATGAAAATTGGTACCAAGGCGCTCGGCCATCTCTCTACACAAGACAGAAGTAATCTGAGGGCCTCTGTCGGATCTGATGTCGATAAGGATGGCACAACGGGCGATCCAGTGATTGATCAGCACACATTCTGTTTATGATGTGACATTGAGTGGGATAGCCTCTGGCCATCGTGTCGTTCTGTCGATGATTGTGAAGAGGTGAGTGAAGCCCTGCGATGGGGGTAAAGGACCTACAAGATCGACATGAACGTGCCTGAACCTCTTTTCGGGCACAGCAATCTTCTCGATTGATGCCTTGGTATGCTTTTGCACTTTTGAAGCTTGGCAGTCCGTACATTCCTTGGCCCACTTGCTTACTTCCTTCCTTTGCCCATGCCAAACAAATCTCTGAGATATCAGGCGGACTGTAGCCTTCATTCCTGGATGGGAAAGGCTATGAAACAAATCGAAGACCTGTCGACGAAATTCTGGAGGTACAATTGGTTTTGGATGTCCTGCCGAAATGTCACACGGCAGTTCTGGTCCTCCAGATTCGATAGCCATTGAAACTGGACGCAATCCTGGAGAAGAGGCGCTGTCGTCAGGAGAAGAGGTGTCAGTGCATTGGGCCTCAGCCATTGCTTTGTAGTCCAGTCCTAATGTGGTCTGGAATATGACTTGGCTCAAACAGTCAGCAACAACGTTCTCCTTCCCAGAAATGTGCTGTATGTCCGTGATAAATTCTGAGATGAATGTCAGGTGACGTTGCTGGCGAGCTGACTAGGGTGGGGATAACTTGGACATAGCGTCCACCAGAGGTTTATGATCGTTGAATGCTGTGAAGCACCTACCCTCAAGCAAAAATCGGAACTCCCGATCACATGTGCTGTACTGTTGTTCTGGCTCTCGAAGTTGTCTGCTGAAAAATGCTAAAGATTGCCAGGTCTCATCGACATTTTGTTCGAAGACAGCGCCAACTGCATGATCTGACACGTCGGTGGTTAAGGCGAGAGAACGTTTGTTCTGGGATGCGAGAGGAGAGTGCAGTCGGCAAGCATGCGTTTGCTGGCCTGGAAGGCTGTAGTCATCTGTTCCGTTCAGCAAAGTTTTGTTTTCTTCTTTTCTCCCTTCAGAGCTTCGTAGAGGGCGTAATATTGATGCAGCTCGAGGTAGAAAGCGAAGGTAGAAGTTCAGCATTCCCAGAAATTCTTGAAGTGCTTTGTAGGTGGTTGGCTGTGGGAATTCTTCTATAGCTTTGACTTTGGAAGGAAGTGGGGTAGATCCATCTCGTGTGACTCGATGGCCTAGAAATTCGATTTCGGTCACTCCAAACACGCATTTTTCTAACCTAACAACTAGGCTCGCTTCTTTGAGTCTGTAGTTTAATATGTTGAGCTGCTGATGAGCTGGCAATGAGTATATCATCTAGATAGATGAAAGCGCTTGAGATGTCCTGCAGGACAGAGTCCATAAGACGCTGGAATGCCTGTACGGCGTTTCTAAGGCCGAATGGCAAGCGTAGAAATTCGTACAGGCCGAATGGTGTGATGACGGCCGTTTTTGGAATGTCCTCCTGCGCAACTGGGATTTGGTGGTAACCTCGAACGAGGTCGATTTTGGAGAAGATACTCTTGCTAGCGAGTCCTGCTGAGAAGTCTTGAATGTGGGGAATCGGATAACGATCTGGGATCGTTCTATTGTTGAGTCCACTGTAGTCGCCACAAGGCCCCCAGTCTCCGTTACCTTTCGGAACCATGTGAAGAGGTGAAGACCAGGGACTGCTAGATCGTCTAATAATTCCCATTTCGGCCATTTTCTTGAATCCAGCTATCGCGATGGTTAGTTTGTCTGGAGGTAGTGGACGTGCCTTGACATGTACGGGTGGACCGGTGGTGCGGTTGAAATGAGAAACACCGTGCTTCACTTCGGAGGCCGAAAAAGTTGGTTCGAGGATTTCATGAAACTCTATTAATATCTTCTTAAATTTGTTGCTTTCTGGGTCCACTATGGCTAACTGAGAATCTGAAATCTGACTGATAGTACATGGATATACTTTGAAAGATTAAGCCTCTATCAGTTTCTGACCACGAATGTCTACCAATAGGTTGTGGCGGCGAAGAGAGTCAGCACCAAGTAGGGCTCGCTTTACATCGGCGATGACAAGTCTGGCGTCGAAAGAATTGTTTTGGAAACAAATGGTGGTGTTGAGTGCTCCAAATGTATTAATAGTGCTACCATTTGCGGCTAAAAGTGGAGAGCCTGAAGTGTTCGCCTGTTTGTCCCGCCATGCTGCTGGAAGAACCGAAACCTGGGCTCCCGTATCGATGATGTAACGGCGGCCAGAGACAGAGTCCATGATAATCAATTGAGCTTTTTGTGGGCCAACAGAAGATTCTGAAGCCAGACTGAATTCTGCTGACCCACCTACTCGTTTCCCTGAACCGCAGATGTTTTTGGAGGCTTTGTAACTGCAGAGCAGAACGCATTTTTTTGGCATTTGATCCGAATCTATGGTGGAAACGCATAAACCTGTCAAGTGGCAAGGTCTGGGTTTGCAAGCAGCCTTTGTTCGGTCTACTGCCAGTAGTGTCGCGGGTGGAGCAACGGCAAGGAATAATTTGTCGGCCTCTTGTATTAACGTGCGGCAATCGAGATGGTCGAATGTTGCCAGGGGGGCTTTCACGTATTCAGGCAACTGTTATGGGAAAAAGTGTCTAAAAAGGAAGAATGGTTCGTGCTCTCCCAGTAGGCCTAACATGGAGTCCATTAACTCTGACGGTTTACCGTCTCCTAACCCCTGCAGTTTAAAGAGCGCTGATGCTCTTTCCGTACCAGACACACTATATGTCGACAACAATAATGTTTTCAGCGAGCTATATTTGTTGTTTTCTGGTGGGTTGGTTAATACTGAAAGTGTCCGAGTAGCTGTGCTGTTGTTGAGGGCGGCAACAACATGGTAGTATTTAGTTTCGTCGAGGGTAATATTTCGCAGAGCGAATTGCGCTTCAGTTTGGGAGAACCAAGCTTCCGGCCCGGCTGTCCAAAATGTTTGTAGTTTAATGGAAACTGCACTTACTTGACATTCCTGGTCAAACATTTTGAAGGGATGGTAAGGGCTGTGATGAAAACGCAAGTCCGCTCAAATATGATTCAACATATAACCCAAGACAGAATACACAAAGCTGAAATTGCATTTCAACTTGTCGGGGTCACCAATGTAATTGAGTGTTCGGAGAGTCGCTACAATATTATATTATATTAAATTATATTATATTATATTATATTATATTATATTATATTATATTATATTATATTATATTGCATTATATTATATTTGTGAAAGTTCGTCACTTTTGTCGTTTTAATCTTGCTTACCGTCACTTTACCTTTCTAAGCTTTTGCTGTATGCAATGGGCTTGGTTCCAACTTACAAAACACTAGTTGACAGAATGGCTAGCGTATAACATAACTTAATGCTAATATTTCTCTATACTACTTGGTCATTTTTATGGATCGTCTTTTTTCTTTCCAGTACAGAATAATGACCTTGTCAAAAATATACAGACTTTTTACATAATAATTTTTAAAAGTTTACTTTTTGAAGTGACGTCTTTTGAAGCCTCACACCCCCTAGTGCTCTTGAACCGTAGACATAAGCAAAATAATGTTATAACAGGACACATTGTCATAGTTACGGAATTGCTTAGCTCAACATTATTGCTCTCTTTTAGGTTGGTCCCATCAGCGTTGCCATTGACGAAAGTCACCCTGGCTTCCAGCAATACAGCGGTGGTGTGTATGACGAGCCTGCATGCAGCTCTACCATGCTGGACCACGGTGTTTTGGCTGTGGGGTACGGCACTCAAGATGGGAAAGATTACTGGATCGTTAAGAACAGGTCAGCCTGTTTATTTTGCCTGTTTTATTGCGTTTATTCGTTCGTTCAGTTCGTTGTTTCTGAAATATTTACACCACGAAATTCCTCTTTGTCCCGTCCTCTGTGCTTCTGACTCTGTCTGCAGCCTCTCTACTACTACCCATTGTCTTCCTCGTACTGCTATCTTTCAGCCACATCCCTGATCTTTCGGTAAAATCTGACACCTGGCCTTCTCGGATGAGAGCGAAAAATGGAGATCCCGTTAGCAAGCTGCGCACCAAGATCCCTTTGTGGTCCTAAAATCGACAAGAGTAGGCTTCGGCGCCACCCGCGCAATATTAAAATTTCTACCAAACTAAAAGTATATAATATGTCCCTCGCGCTCATATGACCTTATGCAGTTACGAGCGCCGTGCATAAAACACTTGACTCAAAAACACCATGAAATTCACAGTGTTTTAGGTGTCGCCTTGTATTATTCAAACAGTCCTCTTGGTCTGCAGAATCACATAGAATAACCAACTCATTGAAAACGACACTCAAACAATACTTATTGTGTAAAGAAAGTCAGTAATATTCATGCCGTCTATCACTATCATACATTTTACTGATCGTGATCGCTTCAGTACATTGGCTTGCCAAGCAAAAACTTTATCTATACAGCTGTCAGATAATGATTCTTGTAACGAAAGCAAAAATAATTTGTTTTCATTATATCAGTTTTGAGGACGGATGCGTGTAGCTGTGGGTGCGTGCACTCATGTACCAGTTTGACTTGTTTCCTAACTCAACTTCGTCACCATTTACTGAACCATTAATGTTGCCTTTTATTTCTTGATTGACAAACAGATAAATATTTGAAAAGACGAAAGACACTGAAGGATGATGCCAGGAGAAAAGCCTAGTCATTTGAGAACAATATAATATTTTTTGCCCTGATTTTAGAAGAATAGGTGTTAGATCTTTTCTTAGAGAAGATCAGGGGTATGGCTGAAAGACAGCAGTAAGAAAAAGCCAGACAGGAGTAGCAATAGAAAGAGTCAAGAGATCGTACAGAGGAGGCTAGGGATAGGAGAAAGAAGTGGAGATGAAAGAAGGTGACATAAGGGGAATATAGAACAGCCAAGGTGGACATAAGATGTCACTTTAAAGAAGAACATTTTGTTTTTGACTAAGAGGTGAACACAGTGCAAACACACACATACAAACACACACACACACACACACACACACACACACACACACACACACACACACACACATATATATATATATATATATATATATATATATTCATATGTTATATATATATAGTGTTGAATGTGTTCCTCCCGCTCATTTTTTCCACCAAATGAAGGTAAACAATGTACTTAATGTCAAGTAGATTACACATTTTCATTCCCCCCTTTCCTTCGGGTTATTAAACATTGTGTTTCATTTAACCTTTTCAAATGGTCTAGATCTAGATCTAGTGTTTGTGAATTTCTTTTTCCAAATTAATGTAAAAAGTAAAATGTTTTTGCGTGGCACAACTCCTTACGGCATGTCAGTACTTTGCAATGTCAGTTTTAAATAAATCTGATGTTCTTGAAAGCTCAGACACACATAGTGATTGGCTTTTAAAAAGTAAAGCTTTGCGTTTTTAATGACCGATGAGCAGGAGCAAGGACAACCCGTGCGGTATTGCTACCACGGCCAGCTATCCCATGAGTGTCAACTAATATGTTATTTTGTCACAATGACTGAGTGCACTGTTTGTCCATCTTCAGTATAAGAATGGCATATTTCTGTTTCTACTAAAAATAACTCTTGCCAAAATGTAGCGTTAGAAGGAAATAATTCTTTCTTTTAAGGGGCATCACCAGGCAACTGTCACTTATAAAATTATTTTTCCAAGACACACACACACGCATGCACACATACACACACACACAGACACACACACACACACACACACACACACACACACACACACACACACACACACACTCTTACACACAATTACACACACATACACATAATATATATGTATATATATGTATATAATATACATATATATATATATATATATATATATATATATATATATATATATATATATATATATATATATATACATTTATATTAATTGTGTATTACACACAATTACACACACATACACACACACACACACATATATATATATATATATATATACATTTATATTAAGTGTGTATGTGTGTGTGTGGGGGGAGGGGGGTGTGGGTGTGGGAGTGCCTTGCAAACAAACAACGTCATCTCTCAAAAAAACTCTTCGCCCCCTAACAAAAGTAATGCAGAATCGCCTTTCAGCTTTAGGGATGTGTTCCTTAACCTCGTTGTTAGTTCCTGCTTAACACTGCATTTAAACAAACACAGGTGTCACTGTGTTAGCTCAGATCCTTATGTAGCAATTTCAAAAATCTGTTTACAGCTGGAAGACTAATTGGGGCACGGACGGTTACATTCTGAGGAGCAGGAGCAAGGACAACCAGTGCGGTATTGCTACCGCAGCCAGCTATCCCACCCGTGTCAACTAATATGTTATTTTTGTCACAATAGCTATGTGCATTGTTTGAATGATATACTTCTGTTTCTTATAAAAAGTAATCCATGCTAAAATGTATTGTTAGAAGAAACAAAAATTCGTTCTCTTAATGTCACCACTAGGCAACTGTCACCTTTGTATTGTCCCATAATGAACACATTATTTGTATCTGAGAACATTGAATGGTGTAAGGTCTATATTTTGTGCTTTTGACTTTGTCGTTGTTATTTGAACATGTGGACCCGACCTCACAAACTTTCCCTATTTTCACCCCCCACCCCCACTAACCAGCACATTGTAACCACTAAGGACGTGGCATTATTAATTTATTCATCCATTCGTTTCTTTAATCCTTCTTTCTTTCTCCCGTTCTTTCCTTTAGTCATTCACACTCGTCGTGAAAAAGAGGGCAGATTTAATGGCTAAAAGCACAAATCTTCCCCTCCATTTGAACAAAATTATGAACACTTAATATTTAACCAAGGATGAGTCATATTTATGAATATGAGACCATTCGATTTACGTGCCCAAGAAATAGAAATGTCAAGTTTTAAAATTAAAAAAAAAAATAACAAAGAAAGAGAAAAGTGCGTAAAAACGAAAAAGCTTTACTTTTTAAAAGCCAATCACTATGTGTATCTGTGAGTTCAAGAACAATCGATTTATTTAAAACTGACATTGCAAATCAAACCCTCGGATGTTCCTGGATATTTAGATTGCATTTGCTCCAGGTGTTGACAATCCAAAATAGCTCATATACCCTGTTTAAAATTTTGCATAGCCTTTTGCTCGACAGTTTGGATCTCCAGTTCAACACTTAGTTTTAACTGTTTAATTGCTTGTGAGTTGTTTCCGTAGAATATGTCTGTAAAAAAACAACAAAGGAAAACCTTGCAATTTGGAAAAGTAATCTTTTTGTATGCTGTTTATGGCACATCCAATATTGAATACATTTATTAGTTAATGAAATATGTATGCATTACTTGTCAAAATTATGTAATTCAGTATTTTACTCAGTGTTGGTTGAAATGACAGATACTTGAAATTTTTCCAACATATAATCATCCCCCTTTTACTGACACAATCCATTACGTTTACTTGCCAGCAGCTTTCAAAATATCACAACCAACTGCGAACAAAAACACCTAAAATTCATCTCAAACAAAACAGAAATCTAGGAAATATTTGAGCTTTTCGGTCACTGCAAAGAATTGAGAGTCGCCGGTCATGCATTTTATTGTCACTGCCAACCGCGAGAACAAATCATGTAAAGATACCATTCGTTTTGCTACATACAAGGGCTGTTGATTGGGGCTGTAGATGGAACCTTTTTGCACCGTTCATTAGTGAACTCTTATTTTATATATCGATTTTCCTAGCGTCATTAATAATACTTGTGTACCTCTCAACTTGAGCGCGTGATACCCGATCAAGGTCAAGATAAGTTTTGAAAGCCTATCAAAAGTTTTAACCGCAAAAAGGGGAGTAAACAAAGGTCCCGTGACTTTAAACAAAGATAACTCAACTAAACTTCTTTTTTTTTCTTTTGCTGTCCACTTTAAAACGAGATAAGCACATCAAATTGATTCCGATATCCTTCGGATTTTTGTTTTTAACGTGCAAAGTTGTAACCAGAGTATAATTTTGATAGCATTATTTTTATGATCTCTTTTTAGCTTGGTGCTCCTCAAAGTGTTTGAACGGCTACATTATGATGGGCAAGTGCATGGTGAACAAGTGTGGTGTTGCTATCTCGACCTGTTATCTAATTGATGTTAACAACTTCCTTATCACTTCAAATCATTATCATATTACAGTAAATGTACACCGCACACACGTACGAAACGTATCGATCTTAATGAGGTTTCATATTATTTTGTACCAGAATATCAAATATTAAGACCACAAATTATTATTAGACGTAAAGAGAATATTTCAGATAAAAACAACTTCAAAGTGATACCCGTGAGTCATCATCGTGGGGTTACTCTTTTCAGTTAAGCGAAAGAGAATAATTATATTAGCACAGTCCATAATTAAACTTTATAACGCATTTTACAAAATTCGTATTAATCTGATAACCACCCAAGGAAAAAAGAAAAACAAACAAACAACAAACAAACAAACCCAGCTCTTTCTGTCAACGTTAAATTATTTATTTCTGCATTCATTCATTAATCACTCTTTACTTAATTCGTTCATCTTTCATGTTTTCATTAGTCAAAAAGTGACCTCTGTATAGCATGGTGCCTGTAAAGTCACATGAGGTGACACCCCTGATTTTCTCTTTTGTCGCCCATAGCCACGATCCAAGAAGATGAATACAACTGGAACATTTTAATATAATACTCGTGTAAAAATTATTGGACCAAACAGAAAATTCACTTTCATAGGAAAATGAGAACCTCCCTGTAAAAATTATACATAAATTTAATGTAATAAAGCAAAACAACAACACAGAAAAATGAAAATGTATACATTGTGATTGATATCAATTAATAAATAATCATGCATGTACATAATATACAGTTGCGTCGAAAAGAAACTTCGGGGCTCTCGTGGCCTAGAGGTTTAGGTGTTCGCCTTTCATTCAATAGGTCGTGGGTTCGAATCGGGATATCGACGGAAATATTTCTTCTCTAATATTTTTCTCTTCCACACCCTGTCCTGCTCTCTAACAATGTTCCGTGGTCTGCTTTCGTCTCCACTTTCTGCTCCAACCCCCTCACTTCCTTTGCCCCCTCCTCTGTGTTCCCGACTCTTTCTGCAGCCTTTCTACCTCTAATCCTAGGCTCCTCCTTTTCACTGCTGTCTTTTAGCCACACCCCTGATCTTCTGGTAGGAAAGATCCACACCTGACTGGCCTTCTGGAACAAATCTTGGAGGTCCTGTGTGCAAGTTGCACACGTTAAAGATCCCTTGGTGGTCCAAAATCTGTAAGTGTAGGCTTCAGCCGCCACTCGGGCAGAATTTAAAATTTCCAACCAACTGGAAATGTTTAATGTGTCTCGTGCGCTCATATGACCTTATGTAGTTCCGTCGCCCGTAAAACAGTTTCCATTAAAAGAAACTTGAAAATGTATTAACCCAAGTACATTGCACTACCCACTCATGCAGCATATCAGGTTAAAGGATAACAAATTCTGCACCATACGACCTATTCATTTTTCATCCACGACAGGAATTGCCCCAGATATGGTCACTCAAAATTGACCTTTAAAAAATCATGCTTGGCCAAAATGTGTGAAATCAAAGAAACATAAACGTGTGTTCGCGCTTGTACTGAGGAACACCAATATTGGTGGATATTTAATACGATAATTTAAAACAGATTGGAACACAACTTAGTCACAAATACCAAGTAAACTTGGACCTAAACATTTCATGTGCTCTTTTTAATGGTTTTGTAAAGAGTATGAACCCTTTAGGCATGGGCTGTGTTAAATGTTGGACACAATTATCTGTCACATCATCTCGAATGTCACAGAAAGTAGCAAACAAAACGTCTCAATTTAAATCGGGACCCTTTACTGATGGCCAATCCGTTGTGGGCATAGTTTGCTTCTCGGAGAAATGTCTAAAGGCGTTGGCCCTGTGAGAAGGAGCTTTGTCGTGTTTAAAGATGTCCACATATTATAACACCATGGCGAAACTAAGGGAACAACGTGACGTTCCAACACTTGTGAGATGTAATCCTCAAAACAAATATTCCTCAATGGCAGATGATTATGTTCAAAATTGAACTAAAACAGTACTGGCTCAAAAAAGGTTTCTGCTCTTTACATAACCAAAGGCTCGAAAACCGAATTTACGAATGAACGCATTTAATTGTATGCAAAGGTGGGATTCGTGACTTCTCTGTTTCCCATCAGTCTAAAAATATAATAATAAAATGTTTATTGCAAATACAAATATATTCCCCACTCATGCGATATGCAATAGACGTCCATTCCATACTACCAATTTGATGTTTATGCATTCAAATGCAAGGCCAAAAGTAGTTTCAAGTTTGTTTGATTTCACACAATTTCGCCAAGCATGATTTTTTAAGGTCAGTTTTGAGTGACCATATCTTTGGCGGCTCCTGTTGTACATGAAAAAAAAGATTGTCATATGGTGTCGAATTTATTTAGCTTTAAATTGGTATGCTGCATGAATGAGCTGTGCGAGGCTTTATCACGATTACTGGGTGGATTACTTGGATGGCCTCATAATACAAGACCAAGAACAACTCATCTCATCATTGTCACGCACTCCCAGAGCATCTTGCGAAGGGTTGAGAAAGGGCTTCTTCGGAGTGAATGGATGAACCCAATACAACACTCATCACTTAGAGCCATCACCTGGATATTCTGTCCTGGGCACTATGGAGTGAAAGGCAATGGGGAGGCTGATAGGCTGGCAGGCAGTGTCGTGGTTGATGGTGAGGTGAAATTTGACAAAGGAGAAGTGTTGAAGACCCTGGAGAAAAAGTTGCGGGATGAAGAAGACAAGGATACAGCAGAACACCACACAATCATTAGGATGCGGGAAATGGGGATAGAGAGGGGAGAAGGAAGAAAGGAACGATTATCTGGAAAGGAAAGACGTCGCCATTATCAGACAGCCACCGGAATAATCAGTATGGATACCTTGCGTCTTTGGTGCTGGGGGGAACTGAGCTCTTATGGACCTGTCCGGTGTGCAATGACGTTGTTGCCCAGGACAGGTAATACAGGTAATACTGGGTGAATACATTTTTCAAGTTTCTTTGGGACGTCACTGTATGTGTTCCTTTTTTTTCTGCAAGGACATTCAACATTATCGTTGGCTGTCCTGCAATAATAGCAGAAACGCAAGGAGCACGCCGATGGCTTGATTTATCTGATTTTAAGTTAAACCTACCATGCTTCTTGGGAGACAATGATAAAAGGTGATTTTGGCTTTTGATAAATAAACACCGAAACTTCATTTTGATAAACAAAGAACGGAAAAATCGTTTTCGGGAAAAAT